GCCATTAAGAATTGAGACTCTATTTTGGATAGAAATTATTTTCTGGCAATGTTGGGCGATTATAATTTTTTTATAGCGTACCTATGTGTGGTTATTGTTTATTGAATGAATCGTTTTGATAACACTTGATTGAATATTAATAAGCAGAACTAAACCTTAATCCTTACAGCTAAGAACTCATTAATGTTTAACTCATTATGTTATTTTCCTCTTTTTTAAAGTATATTTTAACATATATAAACAACAGATTGACTAAAAACTAAAAATTTATTAAATGTTTAACTTCATTTACGTATGGCATGAAAAGGCCAGTGAACTGAAATTAGAAAAAAATCACCTTTCTTCAAACTTAATTTTCTAGAAAGCATGTGCGTGTCCCCTAATTATAATGAAAACGTATCATCTATAAAATGTATATCAGTGAAAGCTCTAGAGATATGCTTTTTTTTCTTTTTCATTAACTATTTTATTTTTATTTTGAGGGGTACTCTATCCCTTTAGTCTTGTTTAGAAAAGTAATAAAATCAAAAAATAAATGAATCTGTGAAATTGAAAACGTAAGCAGAATGATCACCTACCATTACGGATTAGCTGAGACCACTAGCGGATCCAGGATTTAATTTTGGAGGGAGCTTCAGCCCGAAAGATTTTTTTTTTCATATACATATAACGATAATTAATTAGAAAAAAAAGAAAATAATTAACTACCTATATGAAATGGCGTTTAAGTGGTTCTTGAAGTCTTATTAAATATAATTACACGAACAAGAATACTTTAAGAGATAGTTTTTAATATTTTTTTCTTTAAAATATGGCTTTATTTTACCATTTTGGGGAGGGGGAGGGCTTCAGCCCGAAAGCCTCCCCCCCTAAATCCGCTTGTGGCTGAGACCATTAAAAGTGTATACAAATTATGTCAAACCTTTAAATAAGTAATAATAATCTTTTTAACATTTAGGAGGAGAAATAAAAAATATTACATCCATGTTTAATTTATATAATAATAATAAAACTTATTTACCTCATGTCTGCTTAATATAATATACCGTAATATGGGATAAATTTGGGACTGGGTGGGTAAAATTTAGTTTGTGGCGAATCCACTGAAAACTGAAAGTTAGTTTAGTCTGCAAAGACATGCTCTGTGTAGGCATGTGCTGCGCTACTACCTTGCGGCAAATTGAGAAACCTAATTCACAACACTCCTGCAGTTACGTTTTATTTATTTCCATTATTTTTTTCAACATTCTTGTTTTTCTGAAACTTTCGCTTATGCCTCAAGAGTAGTATATCGCAAGGTAGTAGCGATTTCCATATTGACCACTAGCGGATGCAGGATTTAATTTTGGGGAGGGGGATGGGAGCTTCAGACCGAAAGCTTTTTTTTCATAAAAATTACGATAATTACTTCGGAAAAAAAGAAAGAAACTAACTATCTATATGAAACGGTGTTTAAGTGATTCCTTTTAAATGTAATTACACGAACAATAATATTTAAGAGATAATTTTTTAATATTTTGTTCCAGAAAACATCGTTATATTTCACCATTTTGGTGGGGGACTTCAGCCCGAAAGTCCTCCCCCCTCCCCCGTAGATCCGCCCGTGATGCCGACTGAACCAACAGTGTACCCACCACGGAATCACCAAAAACTAATTTTTTCCGCTATCCCTAAGTTACCCGTCTTACGGTGTATTTTTTACTGTCGGATATTATTTTATATTAACGGTGATGGTTCACTTATTGTATTAAGTGCAGAATCACTTATTATAACTTATTATCACTTATAAGTACAGACTTCCTATTATGGTTATAGTTTTCTGTAAGATATTCTGGCGCCAGAAATGGCCAGGCAGGGGGTAAAAGAAAAATAAATACATAAATTATGTACAACATGATTTAATATGAATGTTAATGTTTACATTTAATTAATAAAGTAGTTATAACAAATAAATAGGTTTTATTTATTTCATATAACGTAAATAATTTATAAAAAAAGAAAATCTCTAGGTGTGAATATCTCCTAAACAAAGCGTTTGCGGACATATCTTCATAGGAATTTTTTTTTCTTGTTTTGAGGTCCTTAGTTCATTTTTGCAGTTTGGCCACTTAATCCTGAAACACCATGTATAGATAGAAAACTTATATAGAAAGAGGGCGTACAAATGTATAAAGCTACCAACCTTTTAAATTTATAGTATTTACTGTCTTACGGCATGAAATAATGGTTAGTTATCCCAAACCCTTGGATTTCAAGTCGACAATTTTAATTTACGATTCAAAAAGTTCGTTTTTTTTTTTGTTTTGTTTTTTGCTTTTCCACTTACATCAATACAGCTATGCGTTCTAGTGATAGTCATTAAAGCAATTAAAATTTGCAATAGAAATGGTTTCATCAATTTATTTGCTTTCTTCTATAGTTTCCGAGATATCCGTCTTCGTATTTAACTAACTTCAAAAACAAATTGTTTTATATTTAAACTACAATGTAAGAAATCTTACTTTTCGTTGTTATACGGCTATGAATCATTATAAAATAACATATATATGTATATGATATAAGCCAATATATATATATGAACGTTATCTTTTATAAGATTGAAGAGTAATTATAAAAATTAGGGAAAACAAGCTTTTCTGAGTTTCGGCGTTTAAACATAATGTTATAATTGCTCTAGCTTTTGAATGATTGAAGACAAAATAGTAATATACATTCTTGAAGAAAATTTAATGTTGAACAACTTTCTTCATTATGACTTTTTCGTTAAATGAAAATATAAGAAGTTATCCCGTCAAATATTTATAAAAATGCGAGGCAAATTCAATTTGTTTTCGAACTTATTGAAATACAAGGACGGATATCTCGGAAACTATAGAACATAGCGAAGAATTAATGTGACCAATTCTATTGAAAATTTTAATTTTAATTTTAAATAGAACTTTATTATCACTAGAACGCGTTTTTGCACTGATATAAGCGGAAAAACGAAACAAAGTGAACTTTTTGAATCCTATATTTTCTACTAAATTAGAATTCACGGGTTGCTGGAATGTAAAATTGACATTTTTACTTTCACTTACGTATATATATATATATATATATATATATATACATATATAATATATAGTAAGGGTAAGTATTGCGATCGAGAAAATATTTGAATATGAGTTTTCAACGGAAATACACGTTTTGAGGTACTCTGAGTCGAAATGGCCAAGTCCCGAAAAATGGTCTGTGTGTCTGTGTGTTTGTATGTTAGCAGTCTAGCTCAAAAACGGAAAGTCCTACGAAACTGATATTACGTATTTAAGATAGGTATATAGCTTAGTTGTGACGGCAACTTTTTCCTTAAAATTAGCTAACTGGAAGTACCACTTTATATCAACGCTGAAACACATTTTCACAATTTTCTCAAAAACGGCTCTAACGAATTCGATTAAACTCGGTGTATCATTGTATAATTAAGTGGTCTTTAATATCAATTAGGTCTTATCCCCATTGATGTCACTTTACAGGGCTTAAATGCCCAATGTTCATATACGTCTTCCTCTAAAGTACCTTTAATATGATTTATTTTAAAAAATTAATCATTATTCAAAGTTACGAAAGAATGCTAAATATAACTTTTGAAAGAATTTGATGAGTTAATAAAGGAGAAAAAAAAAAATGCAGAAAAACCTACGTTGCTATATACTGTAGCGCCTAAACGAATGTACCTATTTCAATAAAACTTCGCTAAAGTCATTTTCTCGACACCCTTTAAATTTATCTATATAACATACTTCAACGAAAAGAAGCTGGAAAAAAAGTACGAGGGATGGTAAAATTAAATTCCGAATAACTCAAAAAGTATACACTTTTTTGGGGACATTGTGATAAGATGTTTCAAAGGTATTTAAATTGCCTAAAAAAACAAAAAAAAAATCGTTAAGATCGGACTATTAGGAGGAAAGATATGGGCTCGTTTTTTTCCCTGAAGAGGCGAAAATTTGGATAAATTTTAAATATACTTTTTTAATTGTTAATGCACAAAAACGTTTTTTCTACAGATATTTAATAAAATATCTTTCCTAAGAACTAAGTACCTAAATTTATACCTTTATTCTCAGTTTTATATTTCAACACTGTTATCAACACCTCCGGAATCAACTTACTCACTGTCCGCATACATAACTTTTTCATCTAAAAATATCACTAAAATGACATTAAAAAATGTTGAAATTGGAGTTAGTCATTCTGTGGTTTATAAAAGCAAAGAGAGTAGTGTGGTTTATAAAAGCAGATGGAGTGACTAGATTTTTATTGCCTGTCGTTGATATATTAAATAGACATTTTGTAATTATAATGGTCTTAATGACTTGTTATCTGTAAGCTTTAAGCTTTAGCTCCGTTTAAAATGCACTTCAAAAAAATGTATAATATTTCAGCATTGCCAGAAAATAATTTCTATTCATAATAGATCGGTAAGTGAAAGTTGTGTGTTGCGCGCACCAGATTTTTTTACATAGATTGTTTTAAATGCAATAAAATGTGGTATCTTATTACACACTCTGATTTTATTATATATATATATTGGCATTACTGACCATGTAGATCTTTCTCCGCCTTAACAAGTCTGCTTTATCTCTGCCTGTCTTAGGCTATTTCTTTCCATTTATTTGCACTAAGCACTGTTGCATCTTTGTTGATTCTATCTATCCATCTGCTTTTTAGCATTCCGCATAGTCTTTTGCCTTCTATTGCTGCATTCATTGTTACGTAGAGACTTCCTGATGGATTGCTACGGGCAGCATGCCCCACCCATCTTAACCGTGCCTTCATATAGATATTGATTAGCCAGTTTCTTTGTTGGGTTTCTTCTCCATATGTTAGTATTCCGATCACGTATCGCTCCGGTTTTCGGCACAAGAGCTTCTTCATCCCCTCCCCTCCCCTTGCATCCCTCAGTGACCAGGGTTCATATAATTAATTTTCATTTTATGTATATTTGTGTTTCAGAAATGCCTGAGGGGCGAAGCCTCTCCATTGGTAGCGGGATATCGAAGGAGAGATTCAACGAACTGCGAGCGATAGTCGAAAAAGCGGCCCAGGTTTGTCGAGCTGCTAACTTTTAAATCGAACGAAGGCTATAAATAAAATGGCATTGTATGGATATTTGAAAAGAGTTCCATTTGTTTGAATTGATCCATACATAGGGTCGATGCACAGTGGCCAGGTCAAGAAACAAGCAAATAGACTTCATTGCATAGTCTTTGAAGGGCAAAGTTCGATTCTCGGTAACATTGCGTCTCTCCCTTCATCTGTTTCCTACAGCAAACATGGGAGAAGTTTATTAATAAATTATATTTTAAAAAATCATTTATATTTATAATTTTTAAAAATCGATATTTAATAACGAGTATAAAAAAAAAATTGTAATCTGTTTAGTAGGTGTAACTACCGTACCTACTAAGATTAAGTTAACTGAAAACCTACATGCTCAAAATTTATTTCTCATTGCGCGATTTGACATAGGATGAACAAATTGTTAATGGTAAGCGTATTTCCAATTTGGTACTAATAAAGTTATGAGAAAATTATGAGCTATTTGTAATGGAATAATCATACTTTTTCCTATCATAAACCTCATCAGAAATGTAAAACGAACAGTTAGTGGGAAGCGGGGTAGCTCAGTGGGTGAGCACTGACTTCCAGATCTCAAGGTCCTCGGTTCGAATGAGCAATTTTTCATCAGCCGTGGATCGACCCTGGGGTCGGGATACACCCTCCTGGGGCACACCCAGCCTCTATAAAGTGGGTACCTTTAATTAAAAAAATAATTAAGGGGGAAAAGTTGGCGGTTGAGTGTGATATCGGCTCCATTACCCCCCTGCACAACATTTGGCTTTGAAACAATACTTCCTCACATTAGTGCCACACCTAAGACCCTTCATGGGTGGTTTGTAGTCGTATAGGTTTTTTTTTATATACAGTTAGTAAAAAAAGTCTGTGTACACTTATTTCCAAAAGGAAGTTGGATGTTTCTTCGCCCCATGAGTGCTTTACAATTAAAACATTTGTTAAGAACTTATTTACAATGTGTATTTAAATCAGTCTCTACTCATAACAATTTTACTCAGGACCTAGTTTTGATACTATAGAAAATAATCAGAAAATGTGGTAAAACAAAGTCTGTGTACACTATTTATAAACAAAAAAAAACTTTAAAAAACGTGATAATTCCTTAACTGAAGGCCTTATAAGTTATCATTTATTCAGTATTTGATTTTTTATTGACCTGCAAAGAAGTGAGTTTAATATTATTTGGTCTCATTATAGAGGTATCTGTGGGAATACGAAAATTAGTTGTTAATTTAAGAAAATAAGGAAACTCACTGAGAGAAAATGGTAAAATAATTTCCAAACATCATTCCACGGTTCAAAAAATCATAAACAGGTCTGAAGAGACGGGAAACTTTAAAAGAACATTCATTCACGTGCAAACTTCCACTTTTACGTGAAAATCATATCTCATTATTCGCGGCAAATTTGAAGCATCGCAGAATTTAGAGATCATCTCACTGCCTCTTTAAACCTATAAAATAAAATAAAATATTTAATTGTTTTTTAACGTACTTTTAAATACGCCTATAATCCACTCGAAAAAATTATAAAAACTAATATTAAATAATTTTACACTGTTTTATATGTTATTAGTAGATCAGGATATTTATTTACCAATCACAGTCTCTATAATTTTTTTTTTAACTACTTCATTCCTAGCGAAACTATCGATGACCCACACCATATTCATCTCTTTATCTCTTATTTTTCTATGTTCGAAAGCTTCTCTATGATTAAAGTAGTTTTAAAAAAATATTGAGACTGTCATTGGTAAACAAATGTTCTGATCTACTGATAAAAACTAATATATAAACATGTATATAATTGTTTTTGATATATAGTATTATATTGTTCGTTTTACAATAAATATGTTGATTATGTTAATTATCTCTCTAAATAGAAACTTCTGAGACTTTTTTTATGAGAAGCCCCTCCACACCATCCAGAGCGAGAAATTATGAAAAACATTCGTGAAGTTCCAAAAACTAGTGTCGCTTCCATTGCAGGTATGCTTGAAAATGATTATAAAAAAATGCAGGGTTTAACTCGCGATCTGCTAGGAAAAAGACTTTAATAATTAAGGTGTATAAAGGTAAACGTTTATCATTTGCGAAAGATTATCTGAATAAGCACAATAATTTATGGGAACGAGTTTGATATATTTTAACAAAATACTTCATTTATATATTTTTAAAAATAAAAAGTATCAGAAAAGGGTCTCACTAATTTAGGATTAGCATCTTTATCCTTATCCCTTACAAAAATAACCTTGTGTAAATATAAAAATCACTTTCAGGGAAAGAAAACATTTACTGTATTCGGAAAATACACTACAATAAGGGACGCCCTAAAGGCGAGGGGGTGGATCCAGAATTTTGACTTGCAAAAACTGAGCACGCCGAGGCAGAGGCAGGCACAAGACGATGGTGAGTTTTATAAAAAAATTATCTAGCTTATCAATTCTATGATTATTGTCACCGCGTATCATTTCATTGTAACATTGGATTTAACTAATATTACGTATGCATACTTTACATAAAATTAGTATGCATACTTTGTTTTAGTTTTCGACGCTGCTGTAGGGAATCCCCTACCAAACTTGAATAGCTTTATAGCTGTTCAATAGCTTTTTGAAAGACAAGATAGTTTAAAAATTAAAAATATAATTTCATAATTTTCTGTGTAGAACTATCACCTCTCTAAATATTTAACATTATATATGCAAAAATAACTCTATATGCTAAAGATCGGTGGTAGGGTAGGTCAAAAGTTTGGTACTATCTGCGTAAAAATGGTGTGTAAACCCATTCCTGGGTGACTATTGCTCTAAACCGCCTATTCTGGCCTAAGACAAATATGTAATGCTCTATGTGACTTTTTTGGTCGTATTTCTGCCAAATAATCTTTTAGAGCCTTAAGTTCTAATTTATAGCTTCCTAATTACTTTGAAAAACAGTAGTTAGGTTAAATCAATCAAATTTATTGAAGTAACACCCATAAATTTGTTAATAATGATCAAATCTTGACAGGAAAAAATTCAGTTTCCAAAATGTGTAAAAACGATACTTTAAATTAAAATTTGTAAAACATTTGACTAGAAAGCGAGTATTTGATCACACGGGTTATTTACTTTGTATCCCCCACTAGAGAGACGGCTCGAACAGATTGCATGCACTCCATTTTGAAGTAGTCTATGAATGAATGTTTCGTTTTTAATCTACATAACTTCATAAGGACTTGGTTTGATTCACGAATGCTTGGTAAATTCTAGATAACCTGCTGGTGTGTAGATGACTTCATTTCTAAGCTCCTTGCGGTTTCGAAAATTCGTTGGTTTGAAAAGATGAAACTAGAGTTCTTTTATTATCTCTTGTTAGATTTTCCAATTAATGAAATCAATTCTCTGTCTCTCACTATCTGGAATTCGACGGCATTGTAGCTTTTTTGCAGTCAAACTCATTTTACAGTTGTCTGGAAGTTTCGGTGGCCGATCAATATCATATACTCACTTACCACTCTCTTCTTTGCTTCGTCTATTAGCATAGTAAGCAGTGGTGGCTTCAGGGCTGAGGAACCCGAGCGTTTGCCCAGGGGCGCCGATCTGGAAGTGCCTACCACTTATTAGAAATTTAAAAAAAAATACAAAGCTAATTAGAAAAAATAATTTTAGCCTACTAATAAAGCTAATTGATACTGTGGTCAATGCGCAAAACGCTTTATACACTCTATATTTACATGCCCACCTTTCATTGCGTTTTTTTCGGTAACGACTCTATCTCTATAACCTTCACTATAACTTACAGTTTTTTAAATCACAATTTGTTGGTTTTTACAAGTTACAAGTTTTTACAATAGGCCATGGAGTAAAAATAAAACATTGCAGATTTCATTGTGTGTGATCAGAATATCAGTCAGGATAAGACTAGTAAAGCTCTAAATCTTATTTTCCAAAGAAATTTTTCTTACAAGCGTTTGCAGTGTGGCTGTCGTACTGGAAGCTTTCTTTCCAGTATTGCGAACGGAGAATCAATTATTGTGCGAATAGGTGTTTGCTCTGGATTTTAAAACTTTGTATGATTAGTTTAAAGTAATTTTATAGGAATATTCAGGAAACAAAGAGCCTAAACCACTTTTAAACACTTTAGTCACGTAAGGCTTACATCACACTTAATGATTGCCTTCTTGCTTAGGTAGGGTTGGTGTTAATTTAGGCTCAAATTAAACGGCTCAATATCTATTTTTAAAATAATTATGTCAATTTATGAAGCTGGTGAAACACTGTAATGGTCCTCAGGAAATCTAAATTTCAAATATATTTTCGTCGTTCTCATTTTACTCAGTCCTTTCAACTACACCATGTCCGAAAAACATCAATATTTTTAAGTAGAATAATTTTATTAAAAATAAATATAAAGCTAGTTTGAAACTTTTATTATTGTGTAAATCCTTTTCGTAAATAATCGAGCATAGTGGAACTTAATACAATTAATTTAAAAAAAAAATTGTTACAAGAAAAAAATAACGATTCACTTAAAGACGTCTTGCTGAAAGAGAACTTCCTGAAAGAATAAATGAGTAGGCATGCGGTGATAATGACGTTTTTATTTTAAACAACTGTTTCGTGTTGATGGGCCATTTTCCTTCAATTTGTCTTTTATGCCAGTTTTTCATTCATATTGATTAGACGACTAATACATTTTTTGAAATATATATAGCTCTGAAGAAATGAATCAGCATTTTCTAGAAAAATATGAAATATGCCATGAATAAGACATAGACGAATTATTATTGCAATGCTTATGAAAACCTATGAGTTCTTACAAAGGCTTCGAAAGTATTTTTGTTCTACAGCATTCAGTAGGTATTAACCGTGCCTAATACACGCTATATTAAACAAAAAAAGTTATTTAGTTTTTCGGAAGATGGAAGGAATTTCTCATGAGTACTAATTCCTGTCTGTTAATAATAAGGTTTTTTTTTTTCTCTTTAACTATTTATCCGCACCTGTCATGGTGTTGACAATCACAAAATTTGTTGTGATAATGAGGATTGACATTATAGGCATGAGGAAGGATAGTACCCAGCAGCACCTCTTCCTGGTCATTATTTAATTCTATGATTTAGGAGAGGAGATCTCTCATCCAACTCCTTTTTAGTCTCCTCCTGATGGGCATGTCAGTCATAGCCATGTTGTTTATAAGTTTGTTTGTGTGTCCGTGGAGTTTGAGATGAAAACGAGAGTAGAGAGTACGTATGTATTGGTCTATAGTTGGTTGTCGTAAGTCCTTATGTAAAGTTTTGTTGTTGACGTGCCAGGAAGCTCCTGTTATAAGTCGTAAAATTTTGGATTGAAATGACTGTAATTTTTGTAAGTGCGTCTTTTTTGGGGAACCGTAAATCTGAGAGGCGTGTGTTGAGATGGGTTATAGAAGTGCGTCGAACGAGTATCTAAACTTGATAATTTGATTAAGTGATATGGTCGATAACCACGGTCAATGAATGCCAATTTTACCAAATTTGTCAAAATCTGAGACAGATTATTATAAATGACCCTGCAGTTTTGAAATGATTTATCTGAGAAAAAAAATCCTAATATATTCCAATTCCGATCAGACCCGAGATCAAATAATCTCCCTTCTTTAAAAAATTCCCAACAGCAGATATTTTAAGAAAAGAACAAAACTTCCTGATGAGAAATACACAAATTATTATTGTGACCAGTTTTATGAATCACATGGATTATTCACATGAAATAGTTGCTTGAAGTCGAAATGCGTTCAGATCTATTGGAACTGAATAAAAACTGGGTCTGGAAGAAAAACCGTATTTTCTTGTGCTCAAATGCAATGTTGTTCGAAAGAATAAATACAACTAATTTTAAAAAAAATGAATTTGCCTCCATTATGTAATTTACCTGCGAGACCCAAATCGGAGTCAGAAGGAACAAACTACGATTGGATCACAAGCGTTCGCATCTCATAGGGTACAGTGGGGCGAGTAAGGGAAAACTCGCGATATCGGCTAATTATTTTTTAATTTTTTTTATTGAACTGTTCAATAAAAACAGTGAAAAAGATACATTGTGCCAGCTGGAAATATTCTTGGGAACTCCGCGAACACCACTAGGTATCAATAAAACCGATTATCTAGTTTTTGGGTTTCTAAAAAAATATATATATTTAGACGGATTCAAATAGATGTCGCGAGTTTCCCCTTACTCGTCCCACTTTGCAGCGACCCAAAAACTACATCACTTCACCCTACGAGCTAACTTTTGCTCTTACATTCTATTCTTTGTTTCAAAAAATCTTGCCGTGCACCAAAGGTCGGAAGCAAGTTGATCCATAGCTTGGTGAGGTGACGTGATATGACAAACCGTAAGATTAATAAAAATGGTCACGATAATTATTCTATTTGTATTACATTAGGAAATTCGTCTATGAGGAAGAATGTTTCCTATATATATTTTTTTTAATACTTGTATTGTCCGCCTAGATTCGCTAGCGAAGGAGACTCCCTATTTTACTGTTTCAGTGAGCGTTGCCGCAAGGATCGAAAGTACAGGAGACGAAGAACGGCAAGTTTTGTCAAGGCTTCTTCGCCATGTTCCAGTCAGCTTTGTATGGGCCACTTCTGAACCTATTGACTGGAATAACTTATCGAAATCGACCATTGTGTCCAGATTCCCAAGGGTTTTCTTTACAACCAAAGTAAGTAAACTCTTTATTTTTATTAAAACTATTAGGAAATCCAATTTAAAGGATACGATAAAACAGAATATGTATACGGGATACGCTGTGTCAACCATGATCTTAGTTCTACCTAAATAGCTGTATGGGCTGAACTACACAGTGGTCTCCAATCCCACATAGATATTATATATACTTTTCATAATAATAGCGAAGTATAAGTATAAAAATTGCAACACTTGTACGATAAGGTTATATAAGAACCTATTGAGCGTAATATAGCTTAATAAGATATAGCGTGATTTGGCTTAATAAGTAATAACTAACCATACGGTTGAGTTGCTCATAGCACGTGCTACTTCTTGAAAAGAATTTTAGCCTTCTTTGCGGAATAAAGCTTTTCTCCTACTCGATGGATGGACAGACATCAGAATTAGGAATCATTTGTAATTAGGAGGATTTAGAAGTTCGTTGAAGAAAAATGGACCCACTGCAACCTACGGGTCCAATATTTCTAAATTATTATTTATTGGATTATTTCTAGGATCAGACCATTTTGGTGATTGAAACTTGTATTTAATCACTGATGGAAAAATATAAATATGCCAAAATAATGACCATTCTTTCATGGGTCTGGTAATTTCTTTTATATTATGAAGATAAGCTAAACCTTGAAAATGGACCCTGTTGAATATCGAAGGTTCACATATCAAGGAAATGTTACAGTTCGGTGTTCAGATGAGTTCTTTGTGGGAATAAGGTCAAATATGAACAGCGAACAGCCATTCAACAAAAAAAAAACAAAAAAAAACAGAACTTTTTCGATTTGTTTCTCCCTCATCTGCTAACATACCTCTTATAACATCTTCCGATTAACGTCTACCGTTCCAGACAATATCTCTTTATATTCAAGGAAACACCTTCAAATTCTCTTGAACAGGTTTAAAAAGAGGTTGAAGAATCCCTCTGTTCAAAACCGAAAGTGTACAGTAATGAAGAAATCAGACTGGTGGCTTGAGTTGGTAAGAATCCATAAGAACACAAAGGTATATAATTTGAATAATAATTAATAAACAAAATGGTGTTAGAATAAAGATCATTTAAAATTAGAGCGAAAAACAGTAATTGTTGAAGAATCTTTTCATTAAAATAATCAGAATAAATAAGAAATATATAAGATATTTTTTTCAAATTTAAAAAATATATTTTTATTATTAGCGATTTGTTGTTAAGTTTTTTAACTTATAAAATTATGTTTCCCACAACTGTACCTTAATATTTTATATTAGCAACTTAGAGCTATGTCACCAAGGACTAATTGGCTAATTGCTAAACACAAGTTGTACTTGTTTTTTTTTTCTATTTTCAAAACTTTAACCATTTTGAATGCTACGTATTTCACTTCCCTAGGTTAAGAAAAAAATGTTATACGACTTACAACTATTTAAGATTACATATAAGCAATTTTTGCAAAATTTCTTTATGAAGGAGAAAATTAGCTTACAACGACAAAATATCGAAATTTAAATGGTTTTTGAAGCACTACTGCGAACCTATAATACAAGATGTCGAAATCTTGGATTTTTATGTTCACTACACACCTCACAATATTAAAAAGATATTTGAATTAACTAACCTTTTGCAAGGTAATTTTTCTAAATTGGATAAATGGCCTATTTGGAGATATGTGAGGGAGGGTGCCTGATAGAATTTCGCTACGGGCGCCAACAAACCACGCAACGCCCCTGCTCTGTAGTATTTGTAGTAAATAACAATGTTCCAAAAAGGTAAACAAACGAAGGAAGTAACTTTAATGTTACTTTATGGTGTTTTGTTATTGTGAATAATTTAATAACGAACAGCCAACAATAATAATATTCAGCTTATTTATTTGTCACTTATTAATACAAAATTCTAATATTTTATATTATTATTCGCATTTTTCATCGGAGGTTAAGGAATCATATAAAATCCTAGTGAGAACCAATTATTTTAATGGTTGAGAGGAGGCCTCCACATCTTTCGGTGGGATTATAAAGAAGGTTAAAGACATTGCCAGAATAATCTTACCGACCAGTAAACAGCGAAAATAAAAAATCTTGATTTTTTTTATTCATAATAAATAAAAAATCGTTATTTTCTATGTATATGCATTTTTACGTCTTCATTCATATAAGAAGAGTTTTCGAAACCAAGACTTGACAGCGCAATTATTTTCCCCCTAAATTGATCATTTTCAAAGACGGTATAGTTTTCACGAGAGATTCTTTTTAAATTCATGTGAACATAAATGCTAGTTGAAAATTTTCTCAATAAAAAAAAAGAATAATTATCCTAAAGAAATGACGTTTAATCTGCTAAAAGACTTCGCTTGTTCTGTGTGTAACATGGAGGAGGAAAATGAGCTGGCAAGACCCGCATTTCGGCCAGGACTAGCCATTAAGGTGCACGCAGGCCATTACAGATAGCAGCTAAATCGTATTCTGCCAACGGGTCCTGATATAGCCAATGTCGTGACCTCGTCGTCCTATTTAATGAAATAAGGTTCTACGTAGACGTCATGTCTGCTCCACGTAGCTATAGTTTTTCCGTCGAGCCTATCACTGACAGCAATGTAAACGAGAATCTTTGAGAACTCCACTGTTATTTCATATTTATCTAGAAATCAATACGAGGATCGATGTATGCTTCAAAATGCAAGATAACTACATCAAATGTTTTTTGTTTTGTCGGAGAAATAAACAATACCCATTTTTTCCCCTCTAATATCCTCTTATATTATCTAACATGGTATATATACAAATATACATGTACATTATACAACATTTTACAAATTCATATTTTTACAGATCGGTATTGCCAGTTACCTTGGCGAATCCCATTGGTTCGTAGGTCCTGGTATAAATGCGAGGTTTCCAAGATGCCACATTCTCTCATCACAAGAAGATTACGAATTATTCGTGGCAGATTTTCGTATCACTGCTTGCTTGGGATTTTTAAACACACTGCTTGCAGCAATTGAAAACCAAACGCCAAACCTGTTCACTGGAAGTGGCAAGGTAAGAGAGTTTAAAGCAAACAAACGATTCAGCCCTATATAAAATTGAATACAAGAAAAAGTAGGTATACTGTAGTGTATAGTTTTAGAATAACCTATAAAAATAATTTCTTGACATCTTTTTAATCATGAAAGTTCAATTTTAAAGTGACGATATTGATAAAAATCGCGATACTATTTATCAATGCTTCGCCGCTGACAAGTTATTTGTTCGTAGATGCGATTGCGATTCTTTGAACTTTGTATCTTGAAAGGGCTGATCAATATATACTGCACTTTGCATTTCATTATAAATTTATATTCATATTTATTGTTATGAATAATGTAGTTATTGTGATATCTATTCTCATGTAGAGCTTCGTGGATGGGTATATTAGCCAACCATGTAGGAGTTAAGTGAGTTTAAAACCGTTGATTCTATTAGTTTGTCCAGAATAATCGTTAGCCTGCACCAAAATGCCCCGACACTCCTCTCACTGTCAGCGTGAGCAATTTATTTTTACATGATTAAACCCATATACAAGGTTTCCCGTGTGTGGAGGGAATTTTTTAAAAACAGTGATAGCAGAAATAAAGAGCTTTAAAAATGTTTGTATGAACAATGGTTCGATTTTCAGCAGGAAATTAAAGTTTTGGGATTTTTTAAGTAAGTCATGATTTTTGTTGAATAGGAAGCGATAACTAAAAGAACTATTTAATTGAAGTAATCAACAACTGCTTCGTAAACTAGACAAAATTTATTTGAAATAAAAATAGAGTTTGTTATTGTTAAAACCATTTAAAGAGCAATTTTAAAGCGTCTAAAATCAGCTAAGGAGTGGAGGAGATGAGTAGTGATGAGGAGGAAAGGTAAGGGTGGGGGAAGCGCCTAATACAGAGGTGCGCTCCTCTGAAAGAATTTCTGGATTCGCCACTGCCTGTGATCTTTGTATTCTACTTTCGCTTGCACTGTATTTAGGAAGGGTGAGCAATAAAATATCTTAAGAAGAGGGATAGATTCATGCGCCATCGACCATAGGGGGAGGCATCCCTACGAAGACTTTCAACTCAGACCGAAACGTCGAGCACACGTTATAAGATGCTTTACACTTATTCTGTTTCTGTCTAAAACGATCCTCAATCAACTTCTTCTTGATCACACCTATGGTCAACGATATTTTTACCATTATACAACTTAATCTAATCTAGAAATGTTGCTTACAAAAGAATCAGTTTAAGCTTATATTTAATAAATTTTAGATTTAAAGCTCTGCGATTTGTAGCAATACAAATATACACCACCCATGGCTGTATTATCGTCCCAAGACAGTCCATAAATACTAAATTACTGAAAGTTCCATTAAAAGGCAATTCTTAGACCCCAAATTTACATCCAGTGAACGCTCCTGGCACGTCAGAAACTACTCAAGTCACGATACCTATTAACTCAACCAAAATAAATCTTCTTATCTAGATTCGTAGTTTTTTTTTTTCTGAACTTTGTCTCTAGTATATTACTTAATTTTGCAATGTTATCATCGATAGTTAAATAATTGCAATAAAATTACCTTAATTGAACTTAAATACATTCTTGGCTGTATCTATCGTTAGAAAATTGGAAGCAATAACCAGTCGTCTTTGGGTATTTTCGAGACTTCTTTCTTTGGTATTTCGAGATTTCATTGGAATTCATTATAGAATTACTCTGCTGATTGAATCCTTAGCTGAGCTTTAAGATATTTAAAATTCCTTATCTGCTCTGCTCACCTTAATAATTTGACACTTAACAAGTAATTCAAAAGCTTCCAAATCCAGTTCCATTTTTAGTATTTTTGATGCAATAGTTTAAAGGCTCCCTTATACTATATATGTCTGAGGTCAAACACTAAAGAAACGCTGTTTGATAAGATTCTTAACCATATAATTTTATCTCAGTAGTAGTCCAGTGGTGTTTATTTTATAATTAATTTTCATCGGTCGAATCACTACACTACAAAATTAATTCCGAAACAATGTGAACATTATAGTCTGTTGTACATACTTTTCTCAGCCGAAAACTTCGTGAATAGTTCCATCTCATCTTAAACTACAACTTTTTTGATTTACGAAGCGTATATCCAATTAGCGTCTCTAAATTGGAGCGTTTTCAATCTTAATATCGGCTAACTTCGTCTGTTCAATTAAGTACTAAAAACTCTTAAATACTCATTTGCTTCGTAAGATAATATGATTTCAAAATCGAGAATATAGGTGGCTTCAAAAATATTAAGCCGTTTGGCGTGACCTCCACCTCCAACATGTCAAATTAACGAGGGTTTCTAGGCCAAACAGCCCAATATATTTGTAGGCCACCTTTTTTCTCTTTCGAATTTATGATCAAATTATCTTATGATTCAAGTAGAAATCAAATAGGTACATATGAGGTTTTAGCACCTAATTAAATTCTTTCAAAATTTATGTTTAGCATTTTTTCATAACTTTTAATAATGAGGGGTAGTTAATTATTTGAAATGAACCTTATTCAAGGTACTTTGGAGGAAGAAGTGTATGAACATTGGGCATTTATTTAAAGTGACATCTACGGCGATAAGACCTAAATGATATTAAAGACCACTTAATGATACACCGAGTTTAATAAAAATCGTTTGAGCTGTTTTTGGGAAAATTGTAAATATGTGTTTCTGCGTTGATATAAAGTGGTACTTTCTGTTAGCCGATTTTAAAGAAAAAGTTGCAGCCAAATCTAAGGCATATAACTATCTTAAATACGTAATATCGGTTTTTTACGACTTTTCGTTTTTGAGCTAGACTGCTAATATACAAACACAGAGACCATTTTTCGGGACTTGGTTATTTGGACTCAGGGTACCTCAAAACGTGCATTTCCGTTGAAAACTCACTCAGAAAATTTTCACGATCGCAATAATTACACTGTACCACGAATTAATAATCGAAAGTTAGCTATTTACAAACTTTGAATTATAAATAATTGTAATTTATATCACATATTGATTTGCTTTAATTGATTTTCACTGAATACTAAAATTTTCAATCGAATAATTCTGAAAATTTCAGGTTCCACTGAAGGCGATCGAGTTTGCTGTACGGAGAATATCCGAGCACGTTTCCTATCGGCAGCATGATGATATAGATAAAGGAAACGAAGAAAAGATATGGGACCATCAATGGGAACAGTTTTTGACTCACTATTACCAATGCGTTCACTCTGGCGAGCCTTTCCAGGTCGCGACTGACTTGCAAATTCAGGTAAGCGATGAAAAATCTCAATTTAGTCTTTTCAATTCTAGAACAGTTGGGTTATCAGTAGTACAACAACATTGTATGCGAGAATCGGTCGGGTAGTGGTGAGAGAAAAAGATAAACGTTTTCTAAATATTCATTATTTTACAACCGCTTTCGACTGCTGGACCATCGAGCTTCTCGTGACCCAGTGATTGGAAACCAGAAGTTCCTTTGCAGACATAAGACAATGATTGGTATCTAATGTAAGGTGTAAGATTACACTCTGTTAATCGAATGTATAAATTACTGCAGAATGTCGTGTCAAGTCGCCATCCGTAACATGAAACTTCAACTTCACGAGATTAGCTGCTTGGCGGTCAAATTTGTCCATAATAGATTGCTATAGCTTATTAACCTTCATGTCTACATGTTGATCGCAGCCTACTCCTATCTTCGATCATCTATTTTTGTTCTTGAGGAGTTGGTGCTGCTTAATTCATGACTGAAGCTGATCTATATGTTAAGCTTTCTAATGACACTTTTTTCGTTTCTAGGGTCTCCAACATGACCAGGAATGCAATGAAGAACGGAGAAAAATAACCTTGATAGACTAATTCGACGTTAATTGAGGCATGCGATTTTTCAATCGTACTGACATAAGTGGGCGGGGTGGCCGAATGGGCTAAAGCGTGTGCACAGCACCGCCGTTGCCCGGTAACCTGACATGAATCTAATGATATAAAAATAGTCGCGCTGATATAAAAGAGTTCGCGTTCCGGTGCCGAGGGATTCTTTTAAATCCCCGCCCACACCCCTTGGCCCGGGAAGCCTCCGTATAGCCATAACGGCGAGGAAGGGGAGGACCCAAAAAAAAAAAAATAAAAAATAAGTGGTCCGTATAGCGTAATCGAAGCTAGGTCCCCTTCCAGAGCTTCTGCCAGTTGGCTCTGATTCCTTCTCCAACTATTCAATTATGAATGTTGAACAATCTAGCGTCAGTCAGCAAACAACAAGAGAGACCGTTGTGAACAGAACTTAGGCTGGGATAATACGCTCAAACCCTGTAAAATATAACACTTTTTAGAATTTTTATACTTTTTCAAGCGCGTGTTCTATTTCGTAAGTTGATTTTTATTTCAATAACATAATATTTTATGCGTACAGAAAGGTTTCCCTTTAAGTTTTTTTATCTATACTACATCGTCTAAGCAACTAAGTATATCTCTCTAAGTCCTCCTTGTGGGATTTCAGAATTACCCATCCTAGATATGTCACCTGCCCTGCGCAGTCTTCCAGATTTTGTATAAGACAGTAATCTAACAAACTGCTGCCTGCCAGGGCTCCCTAAGCAGGCAGTGGATCCATTTGAATTGAAGGAAATGGATTAATAACCTTCTCTCCTTTAAATAATTTTTTATAAAACTTCGAAGAGAAGATGTCGGATTGATTATTGATTTTTCAATGAAATTTAGATAAATGTTGGAGTAGAAGGTTTTCATGAGTACTTCGGTGGTTATAAAACAAAATTAAAAATGATTTCTATTACACATATGAATACAATTTTTCCTATGCTGGAAATTGACATAGTTGTTGATTTGTGTCTTTAGCCAAGTTAAGGACTCCTAATATTGACAATTACAATTGAATCTATTCCTAAATTCAAAATATTTAGAAATAGTTCTCATGCCTACTCTCTCAATGTCCAAACCACCTGGCAGAAAAACTGGAGAAAGCCAAGGTGGGTTTGGATTTGATTTGGCGCCAGTTATGGAAAACAAAGACAGAGCTCTATCCAAAAAGTTGCAAGTATTTAATTCCGTTAGTAGGGCAGCGATGTGCAATGAAGCACAAATCTGGGGTAGGGTAAGTTATGAAGCCGTGGAAAGACTACTAAGATTCTTTCTTAAAAATTTATTTAAATTACCGAAGTATACTCCAACACATTTTATTCACTTTGAGACTAAAATAGATCCGTTATTTATCTTAACAATTAAATTCCATTTTGATTACATTATAAAATTTTTGAATCTTTCACCACATAGATATCCAAAAATATTAGCACTTTGGCCATAATAATGGTTATATAATTTGACAGATAATTAAAAAAGAAATCGCATGGCTTAGGGACTTACTTAATCTGATAGAACTGCATGGATTAAATTTCAACTTAAATCGATCTAACTGTGATGATGTTAAATTATGGAGAGCTAATTTATATTCACTAAGAACGCGAATTCATAAAGACATATATAATCAATATGTAATTAAAGTTCAGAATTCTAAAACTTTCACTTTTTATCCTCATTTAACTTCGGTAATTATATTGATGACAAAAGCTCATTAAAGGTGATCAGATGGGTAGTTAAAATTAGAGCTGATATTTTGAGCTTAAATCATAAACACTTCAAGTAAACTAATAATTGGCATGTGTAATACAAACAAAACAGAAGATCTCTATCACTTCATGGCTGCTTGTCCGATACTGTCTGAATTTAGAATTAAATGGTTAAAATGTAGAAATTTATCTGGGGATCAAGTAATTGATTTAATAAATGGAAACAATTGGATAGCATTGTTAAATAATTGCAGGTCTGCTTTCTCCTTAAACAACAAACAATTAATAAATGGGAGAATTTTAGTATCACTCTTTTTGTAAATAAAAATATTTATATAACTTTTACATTATAAATATAATTGTTCTTATTTTCTTATTAATTAGTTGTATTTAAGAAGACTGAAATATAGATTTTTTATAAAACACAGGCTCCTTTGATGGTCAACAGACCATGTGGCAATCTGATTTTCGGTTTTAAATCCAAAAATATTATTTTGTAATTGATATTATGTAATTTTGATAAATAAAATGACTTTTCCTTTTCTTCTTGTTTTTCTCTTCAATTGAATCTGTTAAAAAACTGCCCGGTCCATAGGAAATGTATACCTGCGCTAAAATGGCTGTTGACTCGATCCGACCATATTGGCCACAAATGGCCATGGATGGTACCAATAACGTGTGGATAGTGAAGCCTGGAGCAAAGTCGAGAGGAAGAGGTATTCAAGTTATCAACAAGCTGGAGCAAGTCCAACAAAGGTTAGGGGCTTTCAATGCTAACGATCCAAGGCTTGTAATTCAGAAGTACATTGGTAAGTTATTTTGAAAAAATATGTTTTATATAACTTATATAAATTTTTATATAACTCCCGGTATCGGGGCACTTTTAACTCTTATGTTCATCTCCTGCTCTCTTCCCTGGCCCATGAAAATCTCCATAGAGCCTAAAGGTGAAGAAGGGTTGGAAAAAAAAAGAAAGAAAAAAGAACGTGTACTACTATGACATTATAAATAGAATTGGTGTCATCAGAATGGGATTTTTACTGGTTTTCTGATATCTATTATGAAGAAACTTATTAATTAAAACACTTTCATCTTAGAGTCAAGCGTGTCTGCGTCCAATAGAGAGCGTCTGGTATGTGGAAGACCTTAGATGTTTTAAAATTTGATGAAGTTTATAAGAATTGTCTGATATAGAGAAGTATCCACTAAGAAAAGTTTCAATGTATATTATGTTCTTCGGCCCCCTCCAAAGCTTGAGACACAAAGACGCTAATGCTAAGCTCGCGTCTATGATCATAGAACTTTAAAAAAAATGAATTTACTAAACACATTGTAATTTCTGTGGTTCATTAAGCTTGCGAAATCTGATCGGTTATATTGAGAAATGACAACGCCTTACACTTGGGTCAAAATTGATTTTTAAAATACAGTATATGACAAAATATTTGGATTGAAGAAGACCGAGACAAGCGAAAAATTAAGATGGCTATAACACAACAAATTGCGAGAACTGTACCCGGTGAATAGAATTGGAATGAAAATGGCTTTACGGGGAATGAAATAAAGGGTTTAACATTGCTGGGCTTGGTAGCGAACTTTTTTTTTTTTTTTTCTACCCCCAGGAATTTATTTACTATACAAAATACAACATATAAATACATAAAGAAATATATATACAAAAATTTGTATATATATATATATTTGAAAATAAAAAATTTGAAAATCATCTCTTAAAGTATAATTGTCCGTGTAATTACATTTAATGGAACTTCAAGAATCACTTAAACACGATTTCATATTAGTAGTATCTTTTTTTTTTTCCAAAGTAATTATCATTATATAAATGAAAAAAAAAATCTTTCCAGATGAAGCCCTCCAAAGTTAGGTTGATCTTGGGGATTGGATTAGGAAGGCAATTTTTGAATAGAAATATGTAGACAGTAATCCTCAGTAATAAACCCTGGAGTTCGCTAAGCCTTGTATAATTATTATTGCATAATAGAATACAACCTTGCTTTTGTTTAGCACAGGACTATATTTTTTTGTAATAGAACCAAAGAAGTTTAATAAAAATGTAATGGGGCAAGATGATGCTTTTCCTATATAAAATCTATTGTTTATCATATTTATTTAATAAATTATTTTTTTATTGTTGTACGACTAATTGATTTTTTATATTTCAGAAAAACCGCTTCTCATATGCAATACAAAATTTGACATTAGACAATGGTTCTTGGTTACAAGTATTTATCCTCTGACAATTTGGATGTACAAGTTAGTATACTTTACATAATATAAATAGATTACTGAAAAAGTCTAATTAACTAATTTGATTTTTTTTTTTTCAGAGAATGTTACCTTAGGTTCTGTTCTCATATATTTTCTTTAACTAACATGCATGAATCAGTGCATCTGAGTAATAATGCCATTCAGTGCAAATATAAGAATGAAAAAAAGAGAGACCGTTCGCTACCTGATGAAAATATGTGGGATTCTTTGACTTTTCAAGCCTATTTAAGGTTTTATGTATTACTATATTATACTGATGTTTTAAAAATGATAAGATTATGTATTTATTTCTTTTTTTTTAGCAATAAATATTGTAATATTTTAAAATTACAATAACATTTTATTTAAAATTTATATTTGAATAATTTAATTTTGATGCTGAGGACTTTAGAGTTCAGTAACTGTGAATAATCGACATTTTAATCATATATTTAAAACTGAAAATAAAATAAATAAATTATTTAATAAATAAAATAAAATACTGTTTATTATTTTCTTAATAAATTATAGAGTTCTTTACACATAAGTTGCTATTTGATCATAGATGATTTATGTAGCATAACTCTTGAGCTGGATTTCCTCACTAGAAAGAGACTGCACTGGCCAACATTTGGGTGAGAACTCTGAAGCGAACTGACTGAGTGCTTAATCCCAACTGAAAGCCCATACAGGCTTGAAGCTGGGTAACTATTAAGAGTTATGGTGTGATTCCTCCTACCACTACTGTTCTTATTTCAACATATTATCTTTGGGGATGGAGGAGTTAAAATTCAAATTCCAGATTGATAAAATCATGACAATATACATACACAAATTTTACTGCTGATGTAGATAGTCACCACTTGAAGGAATTATAATTACTGTAATTTTTCACAATACGAACAATGCTGCATAAATCCATCTGAAATTAAAGAAATTTTTATATTCAAAATAATCTGTTTGTATGATCACTAATTTTTAATTTATTGACCAGCATTTCATCATTATAATTAATCAGACAATAATAGATAAATATAATGCATCAAGTTTTATTAGTCATGTTATTTCAATTACTTTAGTCCACATTTATAAACAACAAATACAAATATTAGGTATGTAAATGAAGAAAATAGATAATATAAAGTTTAAAAAAAAAAAAGATGAACAGTAAACACAATAATCACAACTTTACAGATTTGTTACATTTTCTGAAATAATACTCAATCTGATTAATAACATAAATATATATTATATAGTTTTTAAAAACTATATACTTCATGTTTACTTGTTGGAATGTCACAATGAATAAAATGCCATTTATTCAAATTTATATATGCAATCACAATCATAAATTATAATTACTAAAACTTCAATTTTGCTGGCAGAACTATTGGGCATTCTGATAAGTGGGACAAAATCATATATCCAGGAATGAGAGGTGCATTTACATGTGCCCTACTGGCAGCCCAAGATCATGTGTCTCCACGACCCAATACTTTTGAGCTTTATGGAGTGGACTTCATGCTTACTGAGGACCTACAGCCTTGGTTAATAGAGATCAATTCTTCACCCTGTATGAGCCCCACAACGAGTGTCACTGCCCGACTTTGTCCTCAATGCTTGGAGGACATTATCAAAGGTATGTACTGGGAAATATAATATAATTAATTTCATTTAAAAAAAAAATAATTTGAAGCTAATGAAAATTCTAGTTAGCATTTTCAATAGAATGGACAAATTAAAACAATATTAATTTGTTAAAAAAAAATAATGAATACTGCAACTAAAACATTTATTAACAACTGTTAAATGATAACAATTTTATTCATTCATAATTCATTAATATTTTTGAAAATTAATCAATATGTATAGAAAAAAGTAAAATAGAAATTAATTTTTATTGGAGCTAGTACATGGATATTGAAAATTATTTATTCATGTATCAAAAATCTCCAAGTTAAAAAAAAAAAAAAAATTATGACACCAAATTCTTTTATAACACTTATTACTTTACAGTTGTAATTGACCGAAGATCCAATAAAGATGCAGATACTGGAATGTTTGAGCTAGCTTATCGCCAAGATGTGTCAAATCCTCCTCCTTACACTGGGATGAACCTAACTGTCCGTGGTATGAAGCTGAGAACTGGACCTAGAATTTCAAGGTCAGAGGAAATTAAGACTGATCACAATCGTGGGATGAAGGAGGCGATTAGAAGGTTATCAGAACAGTTGAAGGAAGATTCATCTTCAGAAGTTAGAGTAGGTTTTATATTAACATTTGTATTGCTGTATCTTAAAATAAATAAAATCAACCCATAGTTCACTATTACAAAAAATGGATACCATAAAAAATAAATACATACAATACATGGTTTTAATTTATAATGGGAAAATTAACCTTATTATATTATTAGATTAAACTATTTACTTACAAATCTGGCAACATCAAATCAAATTTCCTGGTGGTTACCTTAATTCTATCACATTTTTGAATTCAATCAAACTTTTCAGCGTTATTCCATTACCTTTCTTCAGCATTTGGTCTAAGAAAGTTATGAATGGGGCTGTAAGCATATTTTGTGGCATTGATTTCAAATTTTCATGCCTTTTTTGTCGTGAATGAGTCAAATGATGCCTTAAAATCAAATTATAAAAAAATTCATAACATTTTTATTTTAAAAAACTGGTCAGTTTTAAGAACATGCTTCCTTGATAATCTGTTTATTACATTTTAACTATTGTTTTTTTTTCCTCAAAACTTTTTATATGCTTAAAGGCTTTCAACTGATCAGTTCATGGCTCTTGAGTTTGATTTCAAGAAACCATTTAACAGCTTAGGAGAGAGAGATAGCCTTTAGTAAAAGGGAGTATAATAGGACCAAAATACCACTTTTTCAATTCAATTAATCATGAAATAAAAAAAATTCTTTATTATTCTTGAACAATGTCCCTTAAAAATAAAATTAAAATTGCACTACATAGTGGCCAGGACAGTGTGATCTGACTCATTGGTATAAATAAAAAATAAATAGAAAATAGCATAAAATAAAATAAAATTTTTACATTACATAAAATAACAAAACTGCTTTAAAAGTAAATAACAAAAAGAAAAAGAAAATAAGCTAAATGAAAATTACAATAGTAATAAGTATGTGGGAATAGCACCAAAATGAACTCAGTGAAACATTTAATGGCAGGAAAAAGTGAGTTTAATACAGGATATTACTAATTAATGTCAGTGAGAGAAAGATTGTTGAAGAGGAGAGCTTTAAACAAGGAAACCATTGAAGCATGGCGAATGGTAGGTGGAATAGAGTTTCAGAAGGAGGAATAGGATAGAGTTCCAGAACCGTGCTATGAGGAAGGATTTGTCGATGCCGCAGCTCGAGTGAGAAAGCATTTGTTAAATGCCACAGTTCGGTGAGGAGGAGGGTAGAAGTCACAACCCAGTCAGGGACGAGATCTGGTGGACAGGATATACAATCCTCTGGGAAATACTGTTGGACAGGATTTGATGGATGGTTTAAATTGCAGACTATGTAGTATGTAGGATGAGTGTGGAGTTCTGATTATCTGATATAAAAAGGACGTTGAAAAATACTGATACCTGTGAGATGGGTAGAACCACTTCAGCTCAACAAAATACTGAATTGTTCATGTATCTCTGACGTTGTCTAATCATGTGGCTAAATCAAATATGATTTGGAAAACTTTTGATTGATTACCATACTTCCTCTCTCTAAGTAAAGGTAGCAGAATTTATGAACAGATTGATATAAGGAAATAAATCTAATTCCTAATAGAGCTATTCACCATTTTTATTATATCTAATTACAGCTATAATTTTTTATTAATTTATTAATAATATTTAAAATAAATGTTTACCTTATAATTTTTTTAGAAGGTATTATGGTTAAACCTGGAAATATTGGTAAAAGCTTAAATCAGATAGACTGAGGTTTTATTACAAAACATTCTGATGGGTCAAAGTGGTGGATTACCCAATAATGAGTACATCAGTATTATATAATATTAATAATGTAATATGTTTTAATATTCTAGATTTCTTCAGCTGAAAGTCGTGAGGTCAGAAAAGAACCTGAAAAGCGAAAAAAGGTAAAACGCCATTGCTGCTCAGGAAGACCCTCAATCTCTCAGGCAGTGCAAAGGTATAGGATGTCGAAAAATAGTGAAACAGTGTCAAAAAGAATCAACAGTTGCAATGAGTTGTATGACTGGAAAAAACGTATCGAGCGTACCAAGCTGGACTGTAAGACAACAATAATGAACTTCAACAATGAGAAATCTCTACGAGATCAAACTGAAGAAAGAAAAGAGGCAGAATCCCCAGAACCAAGACCAAGATCAAGATTACCAGAAATAAAAAGAAAAGATTTCAATAATAATATCCAAGTTTCAAGAAATCTTAATATGTTTCCTCAACATAAAATACCATCTCCAATTAAGAGGACCATTTTAGAAACTGTCAATGTTGCATAAAGTAACTTTGTTTTTTCCAATATCATTTTGATTTTTATACTTCATCTTAATAAATGGATTAATTTTAATGAATGACTTATTTTGAACAGAACATAGGAATATAATAAAAGTTATCCTTTCTATGAAAAACAAAGAAAATTTTGAAAATATTGACAGAACAAGACAAACTTCTTTTTTCATTATTATAACAATCATATTACATTAACTCTAATATACTGTGATTTGCTTTATTATAATTGTACCTACTGATAAAATAGTATAAACAAAAATTTTATATATGGATGGCTTACCTCTAACACCTTGTAAGTCCATTAAATATTAAAATAAATTTAAAAAACACATTGAATTTCAAAAATGCTTGAATCTTCCAAATTGAAAATCTTCCAGAATTTCACTGAAGTTACCACTTTATTGTTCATTTTTTGTTATTCAACTTCATCTTTCCTACCATCTTTGTTGTTGGGTAGTCTTTCTGGAACTGTTCCTCTTCTTCACACTTAGTAGAAGTGTGCTAGTGGGTCCATAACAGATTTTTATCCATAATTATATTATAGATTATAAGTATTGAAGTAAATGAGTATGCATTTGTTACTTTCAAGCCTTTAAAACTTTAGTGAATTGGACTTACAAGGTTTTAAGTATTTTACAAGATCAAAAGTTATGCTTTTAAGTATAGCATAAATTCTATAATGGTCCAGCTTACTAAGATATTCTGTTGTTTAAAAGTACCATTTTGTTATGAAGTAGTAATCAATATATCTGTATCTGTATTTTTTGTTTTATTATATAAATGCTTAACATTACATTTAATTGTTATTAGCAGCCTTAGTCAAGCCAATATTCATTGATATTATGACGGAAAACGTGGTTCAGAGGCAATTCAACAGTCTGGTTATAATTATTATTTGATCTTTTTTTTAAATATTTAATTATAATCTTAAGTGACCTAAGGAGACATGTGTTACATAGAGAGTTTTTCTGAATGAATTGAAAAGCAAAATATGGCTGTGCTTTAAATATGATTGTTAAGAGTTTTATTTATTTATTTTTTATGAAGCTGAATTGAGGTGTGATTTCAGATTTAAAAAATGAACCAATAAAAATTTCACTGCCAATTTAGTTTACTTAATCATGATATTTACAAACTTTCTTGTAGTTCAAAAGTCCACTAAAATCATAAGTTAAAATCAGAGAGCTTAACTCACTGCCTTGTATTATTTATTGAAACACAATATTTGTAAAATATTTAAAATTATTAAGGTAATTTTTCATAGTCACTAAATTATATAGTATTATTACTTTTTGTTTTATATAATGTTTTGTAACTATTAGTAACAAAAATACAATTAAAATGGTTTTATTACTAGTAGACATTTTAAATCAATGAAAACATTCACATTATCTCTTAAGGTGATTTATTTTATTAATAAAAAAATTATATTTTGATAAACATATTTGTTTTTATTAATAATGTTTTGAGATTTTATTTTTATGTAGTCATGATAATAAATGTTTAATATTTTTAGACCTATAATTTGTTTTCATAACCTTCTCTAATATTCTTCTAAAACTTATAATATTCATCACAGCTATTAGAGTCATCTATATTTTTATCAGTATGCAAGTATTTCTTATCAGTGTGCCCTATACCCAACATCTTTGATATAAGAAATAAAGTATGCTTATAGGTTTTCAAATTATACGAAAAGATAGGCCCTCAGAATAAAATCTCTCATTACATGCAGAAGAAAAAAACTAAATTTATTTTAAAAAGGAAAAATATTAATTTTTCATATTCTGTAGCCAGATTTATTCAAGTAAATTATCGATCCACAGTCCAGAAATGTCATCAATAGTGAAATTAAGTAAATATGTTTGTGAATTTGAGACCAGGATAACGAAATGTTGGCCATTTTTGGGTGTTTACATGATTCGTCTTATTCAAGAATTTCTCTAGATTTCAAGTAATTATATTTTGTGAGAAAAAAATACCTTTTGTATGATATGTATAAAATAGCGAGATATTAATTGTTGGATAAGAGGGGTTAGGTGGATTTAATGTCTGATTTTAACAAATTCATAATTGTATATGTATATAGATAATTCTTAATTATCATCAGAACTGTAGCTAAAATTATTATTAAATATTTCATTTCTCATTTTTAAAAAATATGTAATACACAACAGATTATAGCTGAAATCATGAGTAACAAATAAAAACATTCAAATCTAAAAATAAAATTGTGTTAGAGCTGATAACGAAATTCAACCTCTTGTCGCCTTCATTTGCAATAATCCAATAATAATCTAAAGACCATGAACGGAAGCAAATAAAGACAAGTAAAGTCTTAACCTGGTAAAATACTGGGTCACCTCCATTACGGGTCAAAAAAATAAATATTTCCAACGTAAAGCTATAAATTTAATGTTTTATTTTTAGATTTTTAATTATTTAATGAAGTTTTTTTTAATCTATCGTCAATTAATCATGTAAAATTTTAAAAGGCAATTTAAAATTTAGAACCACTTTATAAGATTATTGTTTAATCTGTGTAATCATGAATGAATTGTTTAACTAAAGAATATTGTGTACAAGTATACCATGGGTACTGGTTTAAAGTGTTTTCTATTGTGATAACTGAACTCTAAGCCTTTGTCATCATCATCATCCATGGCGCTACAACACATGGAGAGTTGAGGCTTCTTGAAGCTTGATCCGCCAATGTTCTCTATTGGTTCCTGCCATTCTCCAGTTTTGGATTTCCAATTCTGCTACTCTATCAAATCATCAGATTCAAGGTCTCCCCGCTCTTCTTGTTCTATCAATTGTTTTGTCTAGGACCATCATAGAAATCTTCTGGTGAAGATCATGGTTCTTTTATCACCAGTACATATCTAGGTTCTTGTAGAGTCTTGTTAGCTCAGTACTTGCCCTTAACCTCCAGGTTCTATTGATGGAAACTGGGCGTAAATCTTACTAAGTATTCTCCTTTTAAACCTTACAAGAAAGGCATCCTATGAACTAAGTAATGTCTAGCATTTAGGGGTATAAATGCGGCTCTCTACTGCAGCACATGGAGAAGCTCACTTTCCATTCCATTCAGAGTATCCATTTGCTTTACTTTACGTTACAGATTTTCAATACGAATTTTTGTTGTTTTTGTCTAAAAACGGAAAATATTGACTGTTCTACATATCATGGGTAATAAATATTCAGGACGCAGTCTTTTAAATTTTTTTATTTGTGCCGACGTTCCAACCCAAATACGTGGGTCATCTCCAGGACGTGGTTCGAGGACAGAATGTTTTTTTAAAGGCAGTACTTGAAAGCATTTAGTGCTCGAACCGCGCCCTGAAGATGACCCTCATGTTTGGGTTGAAATGTTGGCACAAATAAAAATTTTAAACTTTTTTTAAAAGACTGCGTCTGGAATATTTATCACCCAATTCTTTACTATACAAACTTCAATGACGCTAAAAAAGAAAAAATGTAAATGGTAAAATGCAACCCTCTTTTATTGGAAATTTTTTTAAAAATTGTCTCTTTTGTTTAATTATCCGCTCTTCAATATTCCTGGAGTTAAGAAAATTTCTACTTTCGATGTTGAAGTGTCAATAGAAGGAGAATCAGTTGTATTTTCCGTGGACACGGCTTCTTCTTCAACGTTGATGCCTCTTGAGCTATATACAATGAAGTTTAGACATATAAAGCTGCAGGAGACTAATAAATATTTGTTAACCTACTGTGGCTCAACGTTTATAGATAGATAGATGTATAGTTGGTGTTAAACTTAACGAACAGGTTCTTATTGACCAACCATTACACATTGTTAATACCAAGGGACCACCTCTCCTGGGTAGAGATTGGTTTTGTGAAAATTGACAATGAAAAGGTTTTCAGTAATTTTCAGATTTATGTTATTGATCCAGCTAGATAAATGTATAACCGAGTTAAAATCAAAATATCCTACAGTTTTTAGAAACAAATGGGCATTTTTAATAGGGATCATATAAGTATTCATTTAAAGCCGAATTTCATTCGAGCGAGACCATTGCCTCATGCAATGAAAAAATTGGTCAAAGTGGAGCTCGAAAGATTAGAAAAAAAAATGGTATAATTGAACCATTGATTACAGTCCTTGGGTATCTTCTATAGTTCCTATATTAAAAAATGATAAAAATAAATTAGTACGGATTTGTGGAGACTACAAAACAACTATTAATCCGTATATTGGAATAGACCAACATCCTCGCATTCATACTGTATCCGAAAATTTTAAAGGATGTGCCGTATTTTGTAAAATGCATTTACGAAGCGTATATTAACAGTTTGCGTTAGATGAAAAAAATCAGGAGCTACTTACAATCACAACACATAAAGGTTAGTTCCGTAGCAAAAGATTATGGTCTGGAGTAAGCAGTGCATTGGCCAGATTTCAAAAATGTATAAATAGTACATTGCATGGATTATCGGAGAAAAGTTGGTTTTTGGATGATATATTGTTTGGTGCAGCTAATACCGAGACCTTACTTGTACGGGTAGAAGAAGATCTTAAAAGACTGCGAAATGTAGGTTTGACATTAGCAGAGGGAAAATGTGAATTTTCAAGTCATCAGTGGTTTGTTTGGGTTTCAGAATCTATCAGGAAGGTCTACATTTAGCTGCAGATAAAATAAAAGCAATTGTTGTCGAACGCCCCACGCCCCACTTCAGTAAGCGACCTACAATCGTTTTAGGAATTTATTAATTATGTCATTCGGTTCATTCATTCCTCGAGCTACTGATTTATTACAGCCTTTGTACCAGCAGCTTCACAAAAATTGAGAGTGGAATTGGAGCAGTGCTTGTGAGGAATATTTTGAGAGAATGAAGCAAATAGTCACGTCTCCGGTAGTATTAGCTCATTATGACCCAAATTTTCCCCTCAGGCTTACGGTGGATGGCTCTGAGTGTGGGATTTCAGCCATTTTATCCCAAATATTTCCAGAGGGCGAAAGACCTTTGGCGTTTTCAAGCAGAACGTTGACGCGTCATGAAAAAAATTATTCACAATTAGATAAAGAGGCTTTATTAATTATATTTGGATTAAAAAAATACCATGTCTATTTGTTTGGACAGGATGAATAGTTCACATCTTGGACAGGATGAAACCGGTTCCAACAATGGCAGCCGTAGGCTGCAGCGGTGGTCTCTATTCCTGGCGGAATATGATTATGAAAGTTGCCATGCAGGATCAAAGAAGAATTTTCTGATTGGTTGAGTACCACTACCTATTACTGGAATGGAGAATGATGAAATATTATTAAATTATGCAAGCAGAAATGATGAATTGTCAATCGTTTATCACGATGTATTGCAAGCGACAAGAAGAGATAAAGGTTTGATTAAAATAATTAATATTTAAGGAATTATTGACCCCAACACCATGAGGAGTCTTTGGATGTTTACTACCGGAAACGCTATGAATTATATTTGGAAGTTGGATTATTGATTTGGGGATACAGAGTGATCGTTCCTAAACAGCTGTGACACAGAATCCTGAAGGATCTGCATAGGTCTCATCTTGGGATAGTGAAGGACAAGTCATTGGCAAGATCATATGTATGGTGGCCAAAATTGGTCAATGATATCGAAGAATATATAAAGAATTGCCAAATACACTTAGATAGTTATTTTATTTTATTATATTTTATTTACACCCTAACCTGCCGATAAGGCAATACGGGTGTTATGCAGTAGTGAGTAGCAACGCATGCGTTACAATTCACTGCTGCATTCATACCAATTACATTTATTTTATTTTACAGCTGTGCACACAGCCTGCTCTTTTTTTTTTCTTTTTAGCCAGCATCCTCTTCCATCCTCTCTGGCGGTCTTCCGGATGCAGGTTCATTTCTTCTTCCCAATGAAAAGTGGGTTGACCCAACCAGTTCCTTCCACCCGTATACGAATGCCTTGTAATACGGACATTTTTCCTTTGTCATAAGTTGAGGGAGATCGCTCTCCGTCAGAGTGTAGAGCCCCGTCTCCCTCAACAACTTAGCCCTCAGTGATTCAAAGGCGGTACAGACAAGGATGATATGCTCGGCGGTCTCCGGCACTCTGCAACTTGGGCATAGGGGATCGATGTTCTTGCCATATTATACACTTAGATAGTAAGGGTGGTCCCCTAAAGGCTCCTATGATTCCATTGACATGGCCAGGAGGACCCTGGGAAAGAGTACGTGTTGATTATGGAGGACCGATAGGGGGTAGATATTATCTGATTGTTCTGGACGCGTATACTAAGTGGGCTGAGGCGATTCCGTTTAAGAGCATGACTGCAGATGATACTGTAAGGGTATTAAGGGATTTATTCGCACGTTTTGGAGTTCCTAGACAACTTGTTTGTCACAATTATTCATCTTTCTATTCCAGAGAATTTGTAACTTTTCTCAAGAGAAACGGGCGTAGATCAGGTGCTCCACACCACCCACAAACAAATGGGAAACAGAAAACGCTGTAAAATCCATTAAGAGACCGATATGAAGTTTGGTACTACCATCAAATTCATAACAAAAAGATTTATCAGTTTTTTAATGGATTATCGCAACTCCATACTTGGTACAGCCGACAAATCACCAGCTAGATTTCCTTCGTCCTGACCCAGTGAGTATGACCGTTCACAGAAACCAAGGAAAAAGTATGCCAGAGGTACGAAGGAGGTGAAATTTAGTTTGAATGGGGAGGTATGGGTGATGGATTTTAGGTCTCCCAGGATCCTGGAAGCAAGGAATTATTCAAGAAATACTTGGATCTAGGCGATTTCGTGTATTTGTGCCAGAAATGGAGGGTTATTGGATCACGCACGTAGATCAACTGCGCGGGAGGAGTGATGAGGTAATTTTAAAACATGATGGCAATACCGGCGGCCCACAGACTCCCAACATTTCAAAGGACAGACAACATCGGATGTCTCTGCTGCTCAGCAACCACTAGATAATATTGCGGGCCCTTACAAGTCGCCTCGGCCTGTTAGGGACCGTCGTCCACCCAGACGTCGTATTGAACAAATTTGAATTATGTTACTATTATTTATGTCTATACATTTATGAATTATGTTACTTTTTTTTGGAGGGAGAAAGTTGTAATGTATTATCAAGTTTCCTTTTAGTAAAGACTAATCGATTATCTTTTGTAATGAGGTTGTTACTTGGCAACAAAAAAGAACCAAAACAAGCTGTTCATTCATGATTATGGTGCACTAATGTAAAGATTGGAAAATAAATGTGTTCACTTTCACTTTTTTTATTCCTATAGATACAAAGTATGTTATTTGAAAATAAACGTTTATTTTAAGAGATAGTTCTCGGATCTAATTACGGGCTTAAAAACAAAGCTAATTACAATAAGGCTCACCTGTATTGACGTTGAAGTTGACCATTCTGTGATTTTCTTTCACTTGCAACTTGTTTTGAACAATAGTTGAAAAAATTAGTGCCGGCCTTAGACACTCGACATTCCCGGGCAATGGCGTCATTCTCCTCCTTTAAAATTAATTTATTTCTTAAGCTGTTTAATATTAGGTAATATTTGAATTTTATTTCATTCATCATTTCCCTAGAACAGATTGATAAGCTAAAATTAATTTTTTTTTTTTTTTATGTGCTAAGTATTTTAGCAAACACATATGTGACTCTTTCAAAGAACATAAACAACAAACTGAAATAGAAACTTAGTATGATGTTGACATGGGAGAAGAACGGGGAATGGATTTCCGGGAATCGGAGAACATCAATGAAGAGAATTATTGAAGGGTATATCGATAGCAGGAGTGCTCAGAAGGGGGTTTTATGGCGCTAGTTGCGCTATCAAAATTTTTAAGGAGGGCATCTTTTGACGGGTAAGATTTAATTTTTGAGAGAGGGGAGGTTTGAAATTTCGGATTAAGGGACAAGGAGAAAACAGGGAACAGACCATATTAAGTGTAGTTGTATACGATGTACGATTTCTCTGATTCTACCTTAGCTTAATCTGTTTTTAAGAAAAAGTAAGCAATAAAATATCTTGGGAGGAGAAAGGAGGGTAGGTTCTTGCGCCATCGACCTTAGGGAAGATGGGCACCCCTGAACGAAAGATACGTATAAAGTCTATAAATGTAGATTTTGTTGTTTTGTTCACTGAAAATAAACCTACGATTGTAATCTTGAATTTTATCTTCAATTTTGCATCTTAAATTGTATGTATAAATATTCATTTATATATTTTTATTTTGTTAAATTAATCATAATATGCATATATATGGATTTATTCCTGAAATATGCAAAATAAAATTTGGCTGATTGCATCACACTGTACTAATTCATAAAGATTTTTGAGCAGCGGTTAAAAAAGATCACGCAAACAAAATATACAATTACATAAAAATACAGGCCTTGCTCATAATACTCACGAATATACTATAAAATTTTACTATGGTATGATTTTTATTTATTATTTATATATATAGCCTTTTTCATCATACCATACCATAATTATACATATGAGAGAGAGAGAGAGAGAGCAGGGTAGCTCAGTAACACACTGGATTTCTGTGTCCTATTCAGTTATATCAAACTAGGTTGTAGTGGTACAGGTTTATATTTATGATATGACGAAAAAAAATACGACAGTAAACCGTTAATCCTCAGCATATATATAACACTATTGCCTCAAAAGCCTAATTTTTGATCTTTCTATCCGTCAAATATGTACACTCCTAAATTCTAAAAACCGGAAATCCGTTTAACTCGATTATACTAAAAAATCTTGGAATCCTTAGGAAATATAAGCCTCAATATTTTCAATCTTAATATCTGTATTTGGTGGTCCTTCATATGTACGATAATTGAAAAGTGTTAAATACACAACAATAGACGTTCCAGGTGTAAGATTCAACTAAAAAAAATACAGTAATCGAAAATAATCATATGAAAAACGTATTTATGATGAATTAGAGGGCTACATTGAATAATAAAAAAATAAAATGCACCGTGAAAAAAAAATGGTATAAACACCTTGGAATGATGAAAATTATGTGTTTTCTGCAAAGTACTATGATATTTTTTGTCCATGGGAGTAGAATTTTAGAGAGTTTTGATGAAATTCTCCATCACACAAGTACTCATGTAGTTTAAATTTGTTCCCATCCAAGAACAAGTTTATTTCATGACACAATGACGGGTGAGATAAAACAACGGGTTCGAGGATCAAAGCATTTTCAGAGATTATATTCGGGTTTTGCGATTGACGACCAAGAACCTAGTGAGCAGTTCTGGCAAAGCTTGTGGGTAGATAAACCTCGAATATGCATTGTAGACATAATCGACATATTCAGGGTGGAAAAACGTGATGAAAGCAAAGCAACTTTAAATTCTTCTAAAAAGGAATGTGATATTGATTTTACCAACTCTAAGAAATTTAATCTTGGGGTAAGTATTTTTTTTTAACATTTAAACTAGAATTGATTATAGCAACTAGCACCAAACAATTTCGAAATAAAAATGATAAATTAAGACAGAAATGAAGAAATTTTACACATTGTTAATTTTATTTTCCAGACGTGGCAGAAGAATGATTTTTTTAATTGGGATAAGTAAGTTGATTAAATATCTTCACACTTATGTACATACACATATGTCTGTGGTACATGTGAATATTGGATTGTAAAGTAAATGTCATGATTAAGAACGAGAAAAAAAAAATTGGTTTACGGTGAGATTACTCGAAATGTACATTGCACTACAACCATTATTCACTGTTGTCACGGATATGAAGCGTTTCATTTCAAAACCATCCAAATCTATTTCCTAATTTTTATTGCTTTATTTTAACCTTCAACAATTCCTTCAATGTATTGCTACCAGATGAAAGCATTTATTCAAAATTGGTTATTTATCGTGTGGTTCAACTGATTTTAGAGGAATTCGTTTCACTCCATAATATTACATTAGTAGAATTGTTGATGAATAAAATAAAACAATAAAAATTGGAGAATGGATTTGGATAGTTTTGGAATGAAACTACTAATATAATGTTACAAGCCAAATAAGCTACCTTCTCTGTTATAGATGCAATGGCGAAATGACATGTTCTAGACACTCAGCCCACATGAAGCATCACGCGAGCTTCAATTCCGCACGTCTTAAAAAAAGGAGACAGCAGAAGATGAGGAAAAAAAAAATATTCAGAAGTTAGCGTTTGAACAACCATCATTCATTAAAAAAACAAATGCGTTTTATTTCTTATTATGTATCCATTTATTATCCAAAAACAACTAGAAGGTAACTGCAACGCCTAATGTTGTTAGTCAATGGAGTTTGCTTCTCTGTTTTAGATGCAATGGAGCGATGACATGTTTCAAACACTCGGCCCATACGAAATATCTTGAGAGTTTCGATTGGGCACGTCTAAAAGAAGTAGCAGAAAATAACTAGGAAAACTAATATATTCAAAAGTTATCATTTCATAAGATAATATAAGATCAGCTGCCATTCATGAAATAAATAAAATTAATTTATTTCTTACTAGCTTTACTCGGCCACACGCTAATGTGGCTTTGGTAAACTGGAAAAGAAAGAAAATAGAAAGCACATATGAGCGACTCAGTATCAAAGGATATTTTTCATTTTTAAAAAGTTGAGAAAAAAAAATTCTGTTACCTAGCTTCAATTTAAACATATTCTAATGATTGATTTTTCTTTTTACGATTAAACTTGAAAGCTACTATTTATTCTTAAATAAAATCATTAGAAACAGTTTGAGTTGAACCTGTAAAAGAAATAATGACTTTTTCTCCGCCTTCTAGAAATGACAGATGTCAGTCTTTGATATGAAACCACCCATATATTTAATTTTATAAATAATTAGTTGTAAATTTAATATATTGTTCAATATTCAACTTAGTGTTGATTATTTTATGACAAGTAAAAATGTAAATATACATTTGTACAAAATCACAAATCTCGGAAAGTTTCTTCACCAATGCTTTGAAATTTTGGCTTAACGTTGCATATAAATAAGCGTGTGGTTTTATATATCTACCATTATAAAATGTCAGGTAAAATTACATGTATTTGTTAAAGCAGCATCTGTTGGATTTAAAAGCAACACATGCTGTTTAAAAATATTTTACGATAGCATTTCAATGTTTCAGATTTACAAATATTAAGCGTAGCTTTGCATTCAAATTGAGCTATACCGTTTATCATAACGTTCATTGGGTGTATATTAGAGCTCTCCCCTCCTAACATGGATTAACGCAGTGGATCAGCTGACGCGAAGGTTGTGCTCTCGACTCGTCTCTCGTTATTTGCCTATTTTTCAGCTGAATCTCTCTGAGTATTCACTGAATACAGTTCACGTGTACATCAGAGCAATTGATATTTATTGTTTGATATCTTTTTTTTAATTCTCCTCCCATTCTCTTGTGATATGTGTTATTATCACCAAGTTATGTCCAGTAAGGTGCCTATTAAGAGGACTCGGTCAGACGTACCACCGGACAAACAAAGAACTCGTCGCAGCACGAAAAACACTTCCAATGACCACAGTGAATACTTCACATCCAGAACTTCAGCCTAAACCAGGTACTTCTCCGCAAGAAATGGTTGACGAATCCCCTTTCGTTACTCCTAACTCGTTCCAAGTGCTTCAGAATGACAGAGAAGAAATGGATTCTGCTGCTATACCCAGGGAACCAAGGCCTCCTCCGTTATTAAAAATCTATCATTCTCCCAACTACTTAGAGGTAAGAACTCAACCGATAAATGTCAAGCCCTGCCGCAACAAAACCTCAATCCCAACCTCAAAATCCTATCCATCCTAATATACCTAACCATCAACAAAAAAATCATTATGTTACTCCTCCTTAGCATCTTTCCTCACCGATTTGGAAATCGTTGTTACTCCACTCATATCACTTCTCACAAATCTCGTATCTCACCTCATCTCTCCTTAAAAAAATACTTAAAAGAAGCAAATCCCGAAACCCATATCCATTCTCCTTTGGAATTCGAATGGCTTTAGAAATCATGGTGACGAACTAACAGCTTTACTACTGGACAAGAACTAATTACGGAAACTCGACTAGCTAGAAAATATCTTTTAAAAATACCTCTATACATAACATACCGTACTGAACATCCTGACGGTAGATCACATGCCGGTACTGCTGTTATTGTACACCAATCCCTCTCTCATCACCAGCTCCCATTAGCGTCTCAAAATGTTCTACAATCCAATGCCATCGTAATCAAAAACTTCTCCTTTCACGTCACCATATCTTCAGCATATTGCCCTCCTAATAGATCCATATTCAATATCCAGTTCTCTTCTCAACTCCTTAGGATATCACTTCATCCTGGGTGTAGATTTAAACGCCAAAAAGCAACAATGGAGATCTAGAACTATGAATACTCGTGGTAGAACATTGCTATCTGCACTCAATTTCTAACGTTTCAGCCTCCGTCCTCCCAACTTATCTACCTACTGGCCTACATATCCTAAC